TGGAGCTAAGCCTTGCAGCTCCTTCTGCCCTGCCCTAGCTCGCCCTGTAGGCATGGGCATGCAGGGTCATGGACACGTGGGGCTAATAAATGGGGATGGTAATAAGTGGATTTGGAGGACAAACCTGGGGCCACATCACATGGGGGGACATAGGCTGCTCTGCTTATTGTGGGGTGTGGGGGAAGTGCCAACCCAGCAGGGATGAGGGGTGGGAACATACTCTGGGGCATGTATATAAATGGGGGAGCATGGACTGCTAGCATGTTTCTTGCTCAGCAAGTGTCTGAGCCACCCCACCTGCCTGCCCATGGCAGCAGGGAGGTGGGGGTGCAGGGGGAACAGCATCTTCCTCCCCCTGGGTCAGGTAGGGAGCTCCTATGTAAAACCAGGGGAGCCTGAGGTGCGTGTGTGTGTCCCGGGGCTTGAGCAGGGTAGAGATGGGAAGAGGTCTCTGCCTGTGACAGCTGCCTGGGGACCCTGGTGAGAGCTGGAGTGCCCCCTGCTTGGGGCATCCCCCCTGCCCACCTTTGGGGTCAGATGAGCACAGGCTGGGTGGGGGTGGGGGGTGGGTGTTACGGCCAGGCTGAGTGGGACTGGGGGGGATGCCCCCAGCTCTCATGGCCCTGCCATTTCCCCCCCCTCCCAGATGTGCGAGCAGCTCCCATGCACCGCATGCCCTACGCCCACTCGCCCTACGAGCGCCCGGCCTGGAACCCCCGGTTCTGCATCATCTCCGGCAACCAGCTTCTCATGCTGGACGAGGAGGAGGTGAGGGGGGCAGGGATGGGGGAAACCTCAAGGGCTGAGGCCTGCTGCCTCCCACCCCCATGACTGCCTCAGCAAGACTGGCAGGGCTGGGGCTGGAGGCAGGGCCTGGAGGGAGGGGACCCCCATGAGAGGGGTCCCTTCCCCAATGCCCTGAGGCAGCACTAACTGCCCCCCGCCTTTCCTCCCCTGCCCCCCAGATCCACCCGCTGCTGATCCGGGAACGGCGGAGCGAGCCCTGTCCGACCAAGCTGCTGCGCAG